TTTTTTTTTTTTTTTTTATTGGTATTTGAACCGAGAAATGGTCGAATATTTAGCCGTCACGCGTCAAACTTTTCCATGACGAATTTCTGTTCTATAAAATCTGCGCAAAATGAACGGACCTCAAAAACGCAATATCAATGGCGGCAGTTAGATTCGACAAGATGAAATTGAAACATTTTTCGAGAGGTTACAACGGAAAGAGAGATACGCGCGTTTGACAACGAACAACCCCGGAATAGCGGGAATGACGGTCGAAAAGCAATCAGGACTCCGATATCATTAATAACGTTACTTCTGGAATCGCGTAGCGAATCACGGTGAGTCGCATACACCCGATACGACTCGATATGCCCGCGGCGATGTTCGATTAAATTTTATGGAGTACGTACATATGCGTTGAGAGGGAACCATCGATGGTACCGACGACTCATTACCCGATGCGTCTATCGAAGTCCCCGAAACAATCGCGCCGCGATGGAAAGGAAACGAGAAATCCCATCCGGTATATAGAGTACGATAGAGAGAAAGACCCCCATTGGATAAATACACGGTTGTAATTGCCGAGAATTCGCGTCGATGCACCCTCTCTCCTTTCGACGCCGTTGACCCGTAAACAGTTGGTCGAAGGGAACAACGTTTTCCGCTTACTCGGCGAAGGCGACGAGTTAAAGCTCTCCTCGATGAAGGAAATTAGTCAAAGTGAATTAATTCCAGCGAGACCGGTGGTTCGATAATCGAAAAAGGGGGAAAAAAATACGAACGGCGATATATCGCGTGGCAGCCAAGCGTGTCCGCCGCATCCGAGTTATCGTCGTCTTTGACGACCGATATTAAAACTCGCTTGGAAACGTTTCGCGATATCGACTGCGCCCCCCGTTCCACTCGATACTCGCGCATTCGCGATTCCGCCGCGGCTTCAGCCCCGCGACCTTCCGTCATCCCATCGATCCGATCGTTTTCTTTAAAATTCAAAGTCATCCTCCGGCTTCGTAGCGCGTTCCGCGAGAGCAGCCGAGCTGCCGCGCGGGATGACCGCACCCCGATTCCTCGTGGATTCTCCGCGCGTATTAAGAGTTTCCCCGTAGCCCGTGATCCGATTAAAAACTCGCTCCGCTTCGTACGAAACTGCGATTGCAGATGTCAGTCGATGCAAGAAATTAACATTAATAATTTCATAAGCACCGAGGCTTCGCTAGCCGGCCCACCGCTACGCTCGAGATTCATCCCGCGAGAAACTTTCCCATCGGACAAACAACTTTAAATTAAATTGCGCGCCGCGGGTAAGTATTGCTGGCCGGTGGATACGCGAAGAAACCGAAGCGAGTAATCCTAAACGATGGCGCGGTGCTAATGTAAAAGAGCCGCTTGGGAAATACGCGCTAACTGAAAAGCATCCTAAAGCGGTCGGAAAATATTGGCCGAAAAGGAAGGGAGAGTTTGGCGAGAGAGAGAGAGAGAAATTTTCCGCCGTCTTTCGCCTTCGATCATCTTACGCCCTTTCTCTCTTCTTTTCTCTGTCTCCTCGCGGTAACGCGGAAAATCTTATCGAACGGAAACGTCGTTTCTAAGCTGATTTATGAAAGAAACGGATCACGCGCTTCGAATACCAGACCGACAGGAACGAGAAACGGTGCGATATCAACACCTACGTGGTATTTAACCTCTTGTCCTGCGATTCTAATTCCAATGCCACGTGCCATAATCAACGACACAGTCGGTCACGCGTCGAGCCATTTGGTCCGAACGCGGCGAGGAATAACGCGTAACCGAGGCAGAGAGATATCGGCGTAGATTGACCACGAGAGACTGACTAATGAAAATAATCGTTAAACGTTGCAGAAGCACGCCTGAATTACTAATTTTCTAGCTAACTATAATATTGCCGGTTGGTATCCCCTTGGTCGTGGTGCTACGATAGGGTAGCAGGTAGCACGTAAGAAAGAGGATGCGTTTCGTCCTGGACCTGCTAGTGAACTCGTCAGTAAGGCTTTTTAGCAGATCCTGCCTTGCGGGATACTTAGGTAGCGCAGGATCTTGTATTCATGGGGGGTCGAGGGTTCACCGAGGACTTTGGAGAAAGTCCTCGAACCTCCTTCAAGCAGAAATCCATCTATTAGCGAGGGTGTAAACGTTGGTCGCTACGCTATGTAAATTACTAGTTTCCTCGACGAAACAAACGCGCAAGTGTCTTCTCCGTGTTCGAGGAAAACCTTCAAACTTATTTCTCTACTATCGGTCACTGACCACCCTATCACCCACCCTAAATTGTTCTTAAAGTAGTAAAAAAAGACTGTAAGATGTGTAATAAATATCACTTACCAAACTCTCGTTCAGAAGCTGTCGAAGTTCCGATGGGGTGTGGCAGGATCAGGGGCAAAGTCAGTCACACCACGCACCGTTATATCCTAACGCGGCGAAGTCAGTCACGCCACGCACCATTATGTCCTAACGCGGCCAAGTCACTCACGCGGCAAGCCACTGCGTCCTAGCGTGGCGAAGAACAACACGCAACTGAAACAGGAAAAAAATTGCGGAAGTTAGCCACGAGCCTGTTCGAGCCGGTCAATGTTTACGCTGAAACCTATCTAGAAACCACGCCTCCCCGCTACGTTACGTGTAATCCGAATTCCTTGCCGCGAGTCTCGCGCAATATTCTAGGCGACGATGTAAACACAGAACTCTCTCGACTCTTCCAATTTCTCCTCGTTAAATTTTCTACGACATCATTCAACGTCCTCCAACGTCTTTGTTCTCGAGACAAATTCACGGGCTCCCTGTTTTCCTCCCTCGAATACAAACTCGACTCGACTGGCTGTATGTTCGACATCTGCAACGTCTGATTCAAGCGGCGAACGCGAATATTCGCGAAACGTTCGCGTCTAATGGCCAAAAATTTTCAGCCGTTTTAATTGCTCGCGATTTTAGGATCAAGCCGATCCTCGACGACGCGTACGCCAACAATCGCCACTCGCCGAGGCGATTATATCCATTAAAGCAGTCAACGACTCGGAAATAAGCAGCGACTTTCGCGATATCAAGGCCGTGTTAAGGGGAAACAAACGCAGAGTCGGTGTATCGTTTAACCGTTCGTTAATCAAAGCGTGATACGACGTCGAGTGGTCGACTGGTTGTAGAATTTTCCGCTATTTTTCTCCCACGATGACTAGCGAACCGGTCGGCACGTTGGAACGAAACGTCGAAACTGCACGGTAACTGGGATCCTCGATTCTTTCCGTTGATTGGGACCGAGCTAGACGAGGCGCGGGCAACGAATAATCGAAGGACACTCCGTTCGACTACTCGAAAGACTAACGAGTCGAAGGGGCGACTGGACCGAGGCACGTTGCTCGCGCGAATCGATTGCACCCTTGGTCGAACCGTTTATTTCCATCGACGAGCAGCAACTCGCGTCGAAATTTATCATAAACGTTCCGATAAATATTTCATGACCGCTCGGTAACTACAGGCATCCCGGTGAATACCATTGTATACGGATCGTTGAAGCTTTTATCTCGATGCATATATACGCGCACTTGGTATTCCCGGTTTCGGGTTAAACAACGCAGTTAAAGAGATACCTACGCGTGACGGATACGCGGTGAAAAATCAGAACGAAGGGGAATCGAGAAGAATTTTTGCCGCTTCGCGAACAACGCCGAGTGGAGGAAACGCGGGCTGCTGGATGGAAATGGAAACGCGCTCGTTTGAACGCGAAATAAATTATCTCGCGGTTATATACCCTATGAATTTCCGAAGCAAAGACCGGCAGATATTCCTTCCTCCCGACGATGGGAGTACATAAACGGAATCGCAGTAGAGGAAGGTACGCGCTCCGAAATTAGCCGTTTTCGATTCGAATCGACCGTCAGTTTTATTATTCTTTCGCGTGAAAGGCAGCTGGGATAAAAATAAAGTCTCTCTCTCTCTCTCTCTCTCTCTCTCTCTCTCTCTCTCTCTCTGTTTCTATTAATCTCGGACTAATTGGAGGCACGAGCGACGGAGCGTACGTCGAATAATTGGAGGATTCTTGATCGATACGGTTGAAATTCTAACGAGCCGAAGAGCTAGGCGGAACGCGCGCGTCCCGCTCCGACCAAAAATGCAGCCGCGGCTCGAGTGGCCGGCTTTTTCCCATTTGCATCGAATACATCTGCATATTTGCGAGTTATCGGAAACCACGACGCAAGATCCGAGGACGACGGTCACATCTGGGGATATATCTCCGTAAGGTTCGTCGACCCCGTTTCCCACACGGTGCGTCGTGTCCAGCAGGGTGGATTCGTCGATTCAACGAGGCCACCCCGTGACGCGAAATGGATACCGACGAAACGAAAGAACGACCTTAAATCGAGGGAACGTTTTGTCGGGACATTTTCCCGAAGTGGTTCGTTTTCATTAGCGCGCGGAATTAGAGAAGATCGCTGCTGGAGGAAATTGGTCGACTCGGTTAACAAGCCGAGAAATCTCGCGTTTCTGCCTCCACGTTCAACGGAAACAAAGGAATCACATTCGGCAAAAATGCACCGGCCAATCCGCCGTCATCGATTTCTCGTTAATTAGTAAGAAAATTAACGAACCTCTCCTCGCGTAAAGTTTACTCGAAGCTCGTTAGTCTCTCGCGCAAAGGAACGTCGGCGAAAACGACGAGAGTCGCTCGAGAATGGAACCGTTAGCCGATTACTCGACTCGCGATAGTAACCGTGTACGGATCATCGGAGGTACGATTAAACTTCTCCCGTTTCCATACAGCCGTTGTTCTTCGTCTCTCGTGATTTCTCCTCGCGTACCGCCTATATATTCCTTCGAGTACGAGAACAACGGGAATAAAGGAAAATTAAACGTCGTTGCGTGGAAGCTTCGACTCGCAAAGAGATCCGGTTCGATACGGACAACGACGAGGACGAGGACAGACCCGTTGATAACAGTGGAGATTCGTTTACCGGGGTATAAAGTTGCGTAAACCGCAAGGTGGTCTTTCGGAGAGACGGAGGACGGAGGAAACGATTCTGCGAAGAGAAATTCGAGACATTGGTGGATGCACCGAGTCGCAAACCGCGTAACGAATCTCCGATGTACTTTTGGGTCAAGACAACCAAGAACAGAAGGGTTTCGACCGCTCCCGAGACGAAGCAACTTGGTCGACGTAACTCTTAGACCCTGATAACCGAACTCGGGCCAAGCTAATAACTCTGCCCTGCTTTCGCTAGAATCATCGCGAAACGCGTATCAAACCGAAAGTATGACTCAACCCAGTTTCGATTATTCCGAATACCGAGTGACGAAAGGACATAATTTAAATCGGCAAGTTTCCATCGAGGAAAGTCAAAGCACGCGAACGAAGCGAATTTTCGGGAAATCGCAAAGGAATCGTGTCCCGACGGTGATTCCGAGGGGAAAAAAGGTCTAAAGGACGTCGTCGGAAAAGGTTAGCGGCAGCCTTGATGAGAACGATACGAGCTGCGGTTTTGCCAAATTATGGCAATAATATCACTTAGAATGGCGGCCGGTCTCGGTGAAATTTCACTTAAGTCGACAATTCGCAGGATCGGCGCATACGGACCGTTCTCTAATGTTCGCTCGTTCCAGAACTAACCGACTTAATCTACAAACGAGCCATTTAAACTTCTCTCCAATTCCTTTTTCCCCTCTATTTCGTTCCCCGTCCCCGGTCTTTTTCCAACCACCGCGCCGCACACGCTCTGCCGTTTTTCCCGCGCGCCAGCCGCATTATTCCCTCGTCGGTAATAAGCCCGCGAACCGTGAAACATATTAAACGCATAAATACGCTGCGAGACGTCGAAATAAAGTGTCGCGGACGCGTGGCGAAATTTCGCATCCTCGTCCGCGGCCCGATTTCCTATTTTTCTTTTCCCCTCCGACCCGCCGCCGTTCTCCGCCTGGCTCGCGCAAAGAGTTTCGGATGAATTTAAAACGAGAATTACAGGAAACACGGCGGCGTAATGCCGCGAGAAAGGAAGAGGCAGGAAAACAGAGACAGAGGCGAGAAAAGAAAAACGTAAAGATCATCTCGCGGTTGAAGCGTGGATATTAAAAGCGGAGAGAGTCAAATTCACGGTTCTTGGCCGACTCTCTCCGGTCGCCGACATGAATTTTGATTTACAAATTAAATTTCTACTTCGCTCCAGAGTTTTACCCACGCTAATTTTCCGGCTGTTTTTGTTTTCCTTCGCTCCTACGAGTTCTAATTACACAGACGTTCCTTTCTTGCCACCGTGCACCCTCGTGCACCCCCGCCGTACCACGCGTTCTACTACTCCATGTTCCACTTTTTCTTTTTTACCCACAACCTATTCCCGACGCTTCTCCTCCATCTCTCTGTGTTTCTCTCCTTCTCTCCGGTTCCGAAAACTTTTCTCGCCACCGTGAGACGATAACGAAGCCGGTGCATCGCGACGGAGGAACCGGTATGGTCGCGCGTAAACCAGTCGAAACTTTTTCATCCATCGATTAATCGTTCGTTCCAATGAGCGTGACAGTTACCTTTTCAATTCTCCCGGGGATCGATCGTAGGTCGCGAAACCGCCGATGGGAGGCTGGAGAGATTTAACGGCAGGTGGAGAAGCTTTTATCCGAACGGTGTCTTTTGTGGCGGAAACCATGACGTTTCCGTTGCTCCTTGACAATTTTTACAGCCACCGAACGAACGAACGGACAAACGAACGGACGAACGAAAGAAAATAAAGGGAGCAATCGGTAGGAGTTTTGGTTTAATTTCCGGCCAGGCGTGTACGGAACGAGGGAACTTTTTGTCCGGTCAGCGAACGGGGCTGGTGTTCCGAAACACACTGTCAGGATCAGTAAGTACATCAAAATTGTGGACACAGGAGAACAAAAAAGTTGTTCACGGCATAGCCTGGTTCTGACACAGTTTTCAGCTAGCTAGAGTGACGGCACGATCCTCCGCATAACGCGCCGTTTCTCCTTCCTTTTTCTCCGCTTTTTGTTTACCATCGTCGCTAAACGAAAATTTCGTACGGGGAAAATTGTCTCTCGCGGCCGAAAATCCCGAAAATACGTTGCGCGTTCGCCCAACTACCGAATATAATCGTTTCGACGCCGACTACCGGAGACGCGGGCGTCGCTAATACCTCGCTCTATACGGAGCCTAGAGATCCCGGCTAACCAGGGATGTACATCGAACGATCGAACCTCCCTCACGGTCGCACGCGTCGACTATGAATTACGCGCTGCACGAGAGACGTTACGAGGTATGTTCGATTTAAAGCGATGGCACCTTAGATAAGAACGGAGAGATGGGAAAAGGAAAAGGAAAAGTAACGCGACGAGTTGCAAGGAGAAGAAATAACGATGATTATTCAACCGGCTGGGAGCGTAGACTCTTGGTCACACGGTAAATTTACGTCTCGTGGAAGTTTCCTCGGGTCTTGCAGAAATCAGTGGAAAGTTGGAAAATCTTTGGCCGTGCCGCGATGCGCGGTCGCCTTCTCTACTGTATTTATCTCCGCGGGCTGTAAAGTCGGAGAAGTTGCGAAGCGATCAAAATCTTTCTAACGGCAAAACGAACCGTGGAGCTCGGTAACGAGCCAAAGGGAGAAAGTTTGGAAAGTCGGAAACGAAGATTCCGCCGCGATCGTTAATCGACTAGCTTAAAAGATTCGACTCGCCGACCGCGAAGTTACCGAGGCCGTGGACGCGCGTAGACACGAAGTAACGAACGCTTTAACGGCCACGAACAATGGCAGATAATTACAGGCCGGTAACGAGGAATGGCTACGCTGTTCCCGGTTTGCGTCAGCGCACCGTTTGCGAGCGTGCGGGCCGAGCAGAACGTTTAATTAATGCTCGGTTATTTTCCCGTTTGCCAGCCGCGTGGTCGCAATCTCGTCATCTAATTAATAACGAGCCAAGACTTCCCGCTAAAGGCCTTCTGTCAACTCGATCCATACCACGAAATTCTCCGACCCGTGTGCACAGCGTTTCACCCCTGCGAGGTTCCTGCTGCCGAGCAAAATCGCCCTTCTCCGCTCGCGCGATGTCTCCGTTTCGCGATCCACCGTCAAATCTCTTTATCGATTTCACCCTCGAGATCACGTTCGAACATCCTGCGTGTCTCTCGCTTTCTCACAGGCGTTCGTTTCATCGCGGATGCACCGGTGTACGGGAGAGATACGAAATCGAAAGCGTCGGTTAAAGTTGCCCACTCCGATCCTCGAGATCACTCGTGGAACGCTGTTCCGATGGCCGAGTACGAAAAGTTTCTCGGGCAGCACATTTTCCTTCGGCTTCCACCACGCGTTCTTGCGCGTTTCGTTGTCCCGTTTTACTTCGCCGAACGTTTCGCTTCGTTTAATAAGCTTCCGCGCGTTCTCTTCCACCTATGTAACTCCTTATCGTTTCGACTTTATTCTCAAAGATAAGGAGAAGTTCCACCGAATATCCGTAGTCGAGATTATCGCGTTCCAGAGTTAAAGAAGAAACTCGTGCGACGCTCGTCCCGTTCCGCCGTGTAATTTTCGAATTTTATTCCCGACCAGAGAGACGAAAAACGCTGATCCACTGCGTATCTATGATTGCAGTGAAACCGTTAAAAGTCGAAATCATGGGAAAGGACAGGATCCTGTCGGCGGGGAAGAAATACGAGACCAGATGTCAGAGCACGGGATCGAAACCACCGGCCAACTTGACTTGGTGGAAGGCCTCGAAGCAACTCAGGAGGACGATCAAAAGCGTAAGTATAATAAACAAGTCACTTTGGCAAATCGACGCTTCTTCGTCGCCGATAACCGACGTTGGGAACAATTTTAACGCGCGTGCCTCCTATATTTGCTCTATCTTCTTCGTTCGCTTACCCTATAGCTACCACGCTCTACCAACCCCTCGTGGCGTCTCGCTCGCTACAAGGATCACATACTCTCGAGAGAATCGTTCTTTAATAATTATCGCCATAGATACAGGCAACTTTGATATCCTCCTTAACGAGATGCCGTTGAAAATAAAGCGAAAAACGTTGGGACGCGCGTCGCGACGCGAGCTGCGGTAAAGGAACGATTTTTAATATTCCCTTCGGAGGTGACGAAACGTCTCCGTCGATCGATACACACCTTGTCGAGTTCCTCGCGAATCGTTCTTCCGAACTTTCTAGGAATAAAAGTAACGACGTCTCGATAACGATACTTCATACTAACGATATACCAGGAAGAGGAATAAACTTTAGATTACATGGCGTAAAAAGGTCCCTAAAAATAAATTCTCTCCTATGCACCCCTGTCGTCTTTATTCATTCTCCTTTGCATTACCCTCATCTTCCGAATCTTCCTATCTCCGCCCCATCCCAACTCGGCCCGCACTTTCCATCGACAGTCCAATTTATTTCGCCGCCCTGGCTGCGTCGCTGTAAATTCGGATACCGCTTATAACGTTATCGAAAACGTTGCCGCATTATCGTCGACGAGGAGAAGAAGGAGGAGAGAAAGAAAGCACGGAATAGAAAAGAACCGGGAAGAAGAGAGATTACCGGATAGACGACGCTTAATTGATTATGCACGGGCTAACGCGTCGGATCGTTTAACGTCACCGTGTACCCTTTCATCCGACAGCATTACGATTGTGCCCGCCCCGACCATTCTTATCGGTAGATACCGCGCATCGGAATGTCATCGCGCAACAGTTGAAACGACGCCAATTCGCTGCTCGTTTAACGACCATCGCCCAACAGACTCGCTTTTTCCCACCCACCTTCCACCCCGATAATAATCCCCTACTTATCGTTCGCGTGATCCGCGTTGGCTGAAGAATTTTTTTACGACAAGGACACCCGGGCGAGGGAAAAAGCTTCGACTGAAAGGGTCAGGGCCCGACGGAGCTTATGGCCCGTTGTTTTCCGTCTAAATGGCGTAACGGATAAGAAGGAGGTTAAGAAAGTTGGCGCGAGAGGGTAGATCGTTCCGGAAGTGGAGCCCGAAGGATCAAACGCGTAACGAGCAAGCCCGGAGGAAGCTCGTTCGTGCCGTGGCCGGTACTTCCGGCAAGATTAGACGACTCGTTGGCTATTGTTTCGATAAAATTAACCCCCGGGTCTGCGCGATGGCCGGACAAAGTGGATCCCCGGGTAAAAAGCGTAACAACGTTGCTCGATCCCGTAGGCGGGATAGTTAATCGGAGAAATTGAAACGTCGAACCAGTCTCTTGCATCACACGCACGGCTCGCTTGGCAATTTAATAACTCGAAAACTATAGCCCTTCTCGTAGTACTATAAAATGGAGCGGCTAAGCGGCGACTAAACTTTAGTTAGCAAAAATCAATTACACGTGGTCGCTTCGCGATGAAGCGCCGGAATGGGCCAGGGGAAGCCTCGCGTTAATATTACCGGCGAAACGTCGTTTCGAAAATTTGAAAATTCCCTGCTGGAATGTCGAATAGAGCACGCGCTGCGTACAGTTTCCACGAGATAATCGGTTACCGGTAGTTTCGTCGTAGATTACGCGGCATTGCCACAATAAATATCGGCACAGACGCGCCGGAACGCGATCGATTTTCGTTAAGAAGGTAAACCGGCAACCTACTCGGCAAACCGCGGAATTTTTCCCCGCAACTTTTCCGATCGCGAGTTACACTCGAGCGGGAAGTTGAGCGCACGTCGAATAAGACGAACCAAACTCCGGAAGCTCGCGTAATCCTGGTCGGAGTCGTACTTGTTCCCGGAAAGTGGCAAACAGTTGGACGGGACGTAATTGACGTTCAAGAGAATCGAGCTGTTGCCCCGAGTCTTGATCTCGGAATGGATCGGTGATTCGCCGCGTCGCGACGCGTCGATCCACGGTCGGCAGTCACCGCGGCACCTCTGAAAACGCGTTCACCGAATAGGAAAATGGTGATACAAAGCAACGCAACGGGGAGAGATGGGGTAGCAAAAAAAAAAAAAGAAAAAGAGAAGAAAAATAGAAAAAAAATACGGAAGTCACAATGCAGCAGGCGTGGTGCAACGGCAGCCACGGTTTTTCGTGCCAACGACACGACTGCTCGTAACTCTCGATACGTTCCGTGTCTTACGAATTAATCTCGCGAAATTCACCCCTCGGCCGGCATAATTTTCGCCTCTCCCAATGGTCACTTTTACGAACGTTTTTGTGCAAACGTTGCGACCAGGAGTACAAAGATTCGGAACGTAGTCGGAGAAGGGAAAACTCGTACGACCGATAAAACTGAAGGCGTAAAAATATTTTACGTCGTCGCTAAAAACTGAAAGAAAGGAGAAAAGTCGAACTGGGTTTATTTCCTACTCGTTATAAACGCGAAATAATTCGGTAAATTATGGCGTGGAAAAACGAGGAAATTTGCTTTCGATTAGATTACGCTAATTAACGAGATTGTTCTCGCGTGGAAATAAATACTTTGACCAACTCGATACTTGTTTCCGCTGCGAACGAGTTCCACCCCTGCTCCGCGATAAACGATTCCATTGTCGATACGTGAGTGTATTTGAAAACGGGAAAGCGCTTAAAAATAGACGAAAAATCGTCCGTTGTTTATCGTGGGGGAAAAAAGGTAAACGTTTACCTCGGTGCAGTAGGTAAAAGTCAAATATTTTCTTTCAGCGATACTGTCTGGAATGTTTAGAATATTTACCTGGTCGTTAAGCGCGTGAAATAACCACGCAACCAATCACGATCGATAGGATCAGCCGGCTGACGAAGAATACGCGGCACGATTAATCGGTTTTATGTAACACGGTTTCGTTAATAATTTTATACGCTCGATAACGTAACGATGTTTCCCCCGATTGACCGTGCGCAGCTACGATTTATCTAAATTCCGATCAGATATCGCGCGAAACGGGTTATATTTTTAATCAGTTTGCCGTGACTGCGCCGATGATCGATTAAAGCCGACTCTCGTATTTTTCGTTCCGCATAGTTACTCGTGACGCGAATAAACGACGACGATAATGGCGAAGAAACGCGACAATGACTCTGCGCGATATCGATATTCCCATCGATTTACTCTTCTCTCGAACCGTCGGTTAAAGGTGATCTCTATGGACAAGGGAAAGCACCCGTATGTCGGGATATCGGGGAAACGGTCAACGGAATTCCGCGAGATAAAACAAGGAGAGATGGATTCGCTTGGGAAAAATTTTGCTCCGTGTCAAAGAGTTTCTTTGAAACGAAAACTGGACACTAGAATATACGTATGTCCCGCAAAATCGTGCAAACGTCTTTGATCGGTCACCTTTGGGGAAGCTTTACGGTGAAAATATGTCGCGGTGCAGTTTTTCAAAGACACGTACACGTATACGTAACGTAGTCTGGTGGCGTCGCGACGCAATGTCGCTGGACCGTCGAAAAAGCAATCACCAACGCGCGACCATCGTGCCATAAAAGTCGAGGACACGCGAAAAAATTCAGATTTTCCGTTCGACCAATTTTTCGTCAACGTCCAAACGTTATTGTCCTTCACGGTCGCGTTCGCCTAATTTGCTACGACGTCGAGGGAAACGCGTCCGCGCTTTATCCCGACGAATAAATACCCTTTTCGGCAATCGCTCCACCCCCGCGTGGCTAACTCGCAACGACAAAAGTACCGGCGACGCAACGATGAAACGTACGTGAATCGATCGACCGAAAATATCGACGAATGCTCGCTTGTGTACGTAAAATTCGACTACCGTCCTTTGTCAGAAGGATGAAGGACATTTGCAAAAGGGGAGACGTTTATGGGGCGTTACGGAGACCAACGCGAAGCATCCTCGTTCCCCTTTGGAAACGCGGGTTCGTCGAAAAGGGGAAATTCGCCGGGAAATTCGAAAATCCGACGAGGAGGGGGGTGAAATGATCAGGGGCGCGTAAAAGAGGGAGACGAAGACGAGGGTGGAAACTCGGGGAAAGAAGGCGGTGATTCGCGTACCGATAGTTTCGTGATTTATTCGAGAGGACGTAGAAATTAATATCGAATGTCACCCCGGTGTCGATATTCATAGAAAACACGAGGGTCCGCGATGATTTATCGTCGCGTCAATGTTATCAATGCGCCTAGATTAATAGTTTCATGGATATGACAGACGGTTTGATAATAATTTACCGGGTGCGTCCGTGTAATTGCTATCGATCCATCGACGAACATCTGGATTGATAGCAAAGCCATCGGTAACCGTCACCGAATCCACGCGTATAATGATGTTCGAACAAATGTAACCCGGGAACGAGAACGTTTCTGAAGCCGCGGACAATTCGATTGTCGTATCGTTAACGCGATCGGCTGTTAGGGTGTGCGCGAAGATAATTAATAACTCGGTACGGGCGAGAGCTATTCGGTTGGGACCGATGAATACGGGGGTCTGAGCGGAGATAGAGCGGTTAAAAGGGTAAGAGTACGTCGACGCGAGGTTTAACGATTCCCCGAGCGGTCGGGGATAAACGTCGACGACTTACGAGCGCGTTTTGGCAGGCAAAAGCGAAACCGCTGGGTGCTGCGTCGACGAAAACGAAACGGTATCTTTGTACAAGCGGCTGATGCTCTATTCCATTCGAATGTCCGCGACTGGAAAGCTGCGAGCGCGAGCGGAAAGAGAAACACAGCAGCGGATCAAAGCGTTAACGAGCAGAATTTCCAGCGACTATACGTAATGACGATGATGACGATATTCGTCGGCCGTGTGTGGCTGTCGAATCAAAGAGCTTCCCGTCGTTTCCGCTCGAGCTCGTGCGCGCGGCCAGGGCTGGTCGAATCGTTAGCGATTAACGAGTCGCGCGTGCTGCAACCACGAGTTATACTATTCGGTTAAAATATCGGGGGCGTGGAGGAAAGATGGCGACGGTTTCGCGGACGAACGGGTATACGTAGCGAGTTTAATCGCGAGACGTTTTAAACTCGTGGACGGTAAAGTTGCCGAGAACTTTGGCAAGGAAGTACGCGGTGACCGGAGTGTCACCGTCTGATTCGTTGAATCCATTAGCCGAAACGAGGAAGATCGTTTACGCGTCGTACCGTTCCACGTTCGAACCGGTGACACCGAGAATAATGGGTAAGCTGCGACGGTAATATCGCAGCCGAGTCGCGTCGTTCCGCGAAACGATTCGCGAATCGTCGCGCTGTAACTCTCCTTATCATTTGTCATTGTAAAGTCGCGAGGCTCCGGTTATTCGATTCATCTTCGACTTGCAGCGAGATTTACGCTTTCCTTCGGCGCCCAGCGGCCGATGTATTTTCAAAGATTTCGTCGAGGTAAACACCGAACCAACGGACCAACAGACCAACGGACCAACGAACGAAGGGGAAGAAATTGTATAGAAAAAATATCGCGCTAAAAAAACATGGAAATTTTTACACAGGTATAGGCTCGTATCCAAAGTCGATCGATACGGTATACCGGTTATTTCCAACGAAAACAGACTTGATGCACGGTCAACTCTCGGTTATGTATATGACGGGAAACGGGAACGTTGGGGAAGATGGAGCCGCGAATATGGAGGAAGGAATGCTCGAAAAGGGCGAATGAAAGACGGCAATCTTTCTCGCTCGAGTCGTTTGTACGATAAAACGAGTACGAAACGAGGGGTTGGCTCGGGAGAAAGCGTCGTTGGTTCCTACGATTTAACTCGCGAGTCGGCCATCGCCGACATTTTTAATTCTCCCCGAGATATTCCGCGATTATTCTTTTCGAAAATTTCAACTCTCTACCATTACCGGGCTAATTTTCATAGCACGACGAGGAAATAAAAGACCGTAAACGGACTGATCCATCCGGTAACGAATCTCGGATTTTTTCCCTTCGTCGCTACGGTACATATGTACCTTCATTCGTAAATCCCCGCAGGGCAGGAACGCGACTAGATGCATCTCCGAGGACCGATTTTCGAGTAATACAGCCACGCAACTGGCTTTTCCCAACGGATCTGCTGCGCTTTAAGCTCGAACTTGTCGCGTATTATTAGTTTCTTGGGTTTTATCCGTGGCTATTTATTAACCGTGCCGTTCCGTCGTCGACTCGTTGCCCGAAAATGAAGGCCGGAAATCACGGCGAACCGCAAATTACTTTTCCTCCGTAACGATGCGAATCTTCACGTCTCGCTCTCGTTGCGTCTATCAAATTTCCAAAATTACCACAACCAAGAGGCTATAGATAAGAATCGGGAATTCGTGGACGCGTCGCTAAATCGTTCGCTCGCTCCCATACGAGGAAACGAAAGGACGAGAGGAAAAAAGGGGCGACAGCTTGTACCGGGCAGTAATAAAGGGAAGCAATTTCCCAAGAAGACATCCGGTCTAGAATATATCTGGAAAAAGCCGGTACCCGATGTTCGAGCCGACGTGAGCGATACGATCGCGAAAGCGATGGCACGTAAAGCGACGTTTCGATGAAATATTTTCCACCATTCGTATCCCGTACCCCGCGTGTCGTATCGTAGCGCGAAAGGTGCAATGATTATCCTACGGTGTAATTATCCGGATACATGAAAGGCTCGATCAGTTTCAGGAAGACGGAACAAGCGTGAGCATGTTGCAATGGATACCGTCGATCGAGGACGAAGGGAAATTTCTCGTGTGTAAAGCAACGAATCCCAAGCTGCAAGAGGCCGGCATCGAAGAGCGATGGAAGCTGAAAGTACACTGTAAGTATACGGGCAATCTGCTCGGCGTATTTTCCCCCATCGTCGAACAACGAGATCTAACGATTCTTCGAATACCTTCGCCTAATTTCCGATTTCGTTAACTTAAATTAAATTGAAATAAATTTGAAAAACTCGTCGCCAAGGATTGCGAGCAGGACAAAAGAGAGGTCGCGGTACGCGAGGGGAATTTAGAAGAAATTGGTACTCGTGCGATGGGAGAGATCCGTTTTTCCGCTAGAACCGAGCGAGTTAAATGTCTCCGGCTTAGAGGGGTTCGCGAATTAGACGACTCTGCGACTAACATTGATTTCTACTGAAAACGTGCCGTCCCGCGTTATTGCTTTGCCCGTTTCCTCGAGATGTTAATTGCGTCGGAACGAACGGAATATCCTTCGCGATGCGTTATTCTGCGTACAAATCGCGACGTCTCGTCCCCAAGAGAACGCTGACAAGTGAAAGACCACCGACGGATTTCGTCCCGTTATTAAGCCATCTCCATCGCGCGCGGGCGAAACATCCTGTTGCGAGATAACAAAGATACCATGCAGTTTCTCCCTGACTCCTAACGCGGTAATTCGGCTCGTAGCAAGGATCGTATGATTCCCGGTTAATTCGATTCCGATGGATTTCTCTGACGTACTGGCATACAACGCAGTCGCGAGAACGGTATATAGAGAGCCTTACTACGAAATTACGTGCCAGCCAATCTGTCCTGCCAACGTTTACCTGCATAACGTAAGCCAGATACGAGCTATCGTTATCCGTTTATTTACGACTGCGCGTCTGATCGGCCACTCGATGCATCCGCCATTATCCTTGTTTCCAGTGTATACATATATGTGGGAATTTGGCATTAGTCCGACGAATAATCATACGGTGCGCGCGGTTCCACGCACGCACGATAACTTTGCGAAACACCGAAACAGGCACCGATCGATTAACTTACAAAAGAGAAACGAGTTCGCGCGCTTTCCCCTAGGGCCGATTTTCAAATCCGCGTGCGAATTATTTATACGTGTATCGCCCTGAACGGGGTGATATTGTTGCACGAAACAAAGATAATTTCTTAATCGTCGAGCAACGTCGCGTGCCCCCGTGACCGAGTAATGAAATTATTTTCCGATCAAAGGACGCGAGATTACGGTCAACTCCGTACCAGCTAATAAACCTTTGGCGCAGCCTCGGTGGAATCGATGCACCGATTCCGATAGAGACTCCCCAGTGGATTACCTTCCGACGAAGAATCAATTTGAGGATGCGGAATGACGACCGCGATCGGAATAATATCGTGATAACGCTATAGGTTAACGATAAACTAAAATCCGGAATGCTCTGCATTCGGAGCAAACGAGCGTTTTATGCCGGAACGTCGATGGCGGAAAACGTCTGGAACGTCGAGGATAATTCTAGGTATATCCCAAACACCTGGTCACTGTAGCCGTTACGGTTGAACCACGGCGACGTGGACCGGTCATAATCGGCGTAACTTCGCGAATAGCTCGAAAGTTATTTACGCGAGCGTATCGGTGCCACTGGGTTCTCCGAAAACCGCGTAAACAGCCCGATAAAATTTCGCGTTTCGCGTGGAATAAATGGCGGCCACGCTGCTGGCCGTAAATACGAAGAAGAATTCGCGCATGCATATGTAAATATCGTTAGCGCGACAAGAGCGACCGCCAAAACAAAAAGAATCGTCGTGTAAATCGTTTGCATATTTTAGCATAATCCACTGGCGGGAAGCAAGTCGGGCATGTTCTTTGGAAAATCGAGCGTTTCGTCGAGAAAATGGCCGGCCATTGTTGTTATAAAGTGGCCCATAACTGTACAATTTACCGTAGCTAACGATACAGAGACGTATCCATCAACGTCAGCCCGAAGCTGTCAGTGGTAACGATACGTGCTTCATCAGACATGGCCTGCATCTCCACCCATCGGTATGTTTCACTGGTGACGCTGTAACGATCGGAAAATCTCGTCACGGATTACACTCTGGATGGAAAGGACGACCGATCTTGGATAGACTCGAGGGGAAAACGAAGAAGGATCTACTATGCGCTTCCTTCGATCGGTGGGGATAACCCGGGATCGAAAGCGGAGGACCGTTTTCGAGGATGCAGTGTGACGCGATGCGTCGAATTGGATGGAAAGGACGACCGATCTGGATAGACTCGAGGGGAAAACGAAGAAGGATCTACTATGCGCTTCCTTCGATCGGTAGGGATAACCCGGGATCGAAAGCGGAGGACCGTTTTCGAGGATGCAGTGTGACGCGATGCGTCGAGCGGGATATTCGCGATCAAAGAATCGACTGGGTGCGGATCGATACGAATCCGAAGAACGTTAAGAGAAAACCGTAATTGGCGGGAGAAAGGAAAGGAGAATGGGTGAATGGCGTTGTTCGTGTCACGTGGTTAACGATCTGTTCGGTCGCGCGAGAACCGTCGTCCCGAGTGGAATACGAGGCATAGCGCGTGTTCATTTGCCGGAAAGCTATTTCCTGCCTTCCATTACCGGACGATGCTGTATCGCATATTCGCGTCGGTACGGAAACGCGAGCACGCGCGCGCTCTCATCTACGCGTGCAATCGAATCTCCAACGTGCTCGGGTCTCCGTGCCTCGCTACACCCCGTATACACGCATACGCATACACGTGGCCGGAAATGTGGAGGCTTGCGCGTAAAACGGATCTGTGCGTCAATGTCGCGACAACTATCGCGGATTGATACGCGTTTCGTCGACGGACAGTTTGCCGCACGCCTCTCGGAAATTTTCGCTTCGTTTCCCGACAACGAAACCGCCAAAGTTCCAGCTCGCGAGTGATTCGAACGGGTGACGGAAATTCGGAAAGATCGTAAAGGATCGCGCGTAAAATTGCTCGATTAGATCTCGATAAAGTTTCGATACCTTCCGTCGCGCGTCACGACGGAAGCTTCTTCCAATGGAACTAATTATCCCGTTGGCAGAAGTTTGCGAGCTGGAGAACCTTCCCTACGGTTCCCTTGGCAATTTCGCGGTAGTCGAGCTGCGCCAGTGATACGTTGGTCAAAAGGAAACTTGGTCGGGACGCGATTTCGTGGCTATAGCAAAGAGAAATAAGCAGGAAAGGAAAATGATTTCTCGATGGGTCAGTTACGCAGCGGCAGCAACGTCCCCTGTAGACTGCCGAACCACAAATCACTGGCGCGCGATAAACGTTCAGCGTTGGTTTTACCTGGTTATTTATCGAGGCGCACGGCTAAATCCCGAAACCGGTTACATCCTCGTGGTTACATGCTTACGCAGATACTCTCGACTATCTTTGCATATCGTTCCCACCGACGTGCTCGTTCTTTTTCCTCTCTTCTTTTTCGTCCTCTGTTCCCTTTTCTCTTCGACGCGGAGTTAAACACGGACCAGCCGCAATCTCGATCGCGGAAAAAACGACGAAGCTCGTTGCGGCGAGTAATCGGAAAGTCGTGGATCTAGAAAACCGGCCCGGAGCCGGTAACGAGTTCGGCTAAACAATCTCGTACGAAACCTCTCGAACTAATAATAATTTTCGCTTCTCGTAGTAAACACGTTGGAGATGCAACTCTACTCGCCAATTATGTCGTTCCTACTGACGGCAAAATAGACAAAGTTTTGGAACGCGTCTCTCGGAAATTGTGAACTCGGGTCAACACCACGACCCCGTCTAGACTGATAGAACCAACGCAGCAAAGAGATGCAAGCCGCGTTGCATCTAATTAATATCTACGGTACAACTACGTGACAAATCGAAACACGAAACAAACGCTCGAGTACGTATTTCGAAAGGACATTCCTTCGAACTACGAATAATTACCTCCTACTTGCTGGTTTCCACTCTACGCTTCTCGTTAAAATAGATCAAACGGGTAAACTTGCCTCTCGCGCGCGTATTCCATCTCTAAGAACCTGCATTCCCTTCTCGTCGAAGCTCCGTAAAAATCGAGAGAATCGCTGCACGAACGAGTGCCGATCTAAAATTAATATACTCCAAAGTGCCTGGGCGACAGTCGATCTCTGCTACGACCTTGTCACTTTGCACGGTACGCTGAATCTATTATCGCGATAGAACATTGGTAATTATGCTGCATCTTTCACTTCTCCGTGTTCGTTAATTCGATCAATCCGTCGAACTGGGTAACATGAAACAGACGGCGAAAAATCGGTACGCGCCGAATGTACTCTATCGCGAATATACGGCGCGATAAAAATATTTTGAGAAAAAAAAAAAAAAAAAAAAAAAAAAAAGAAAAGAAGCGTTTTTGGATGCCAGTGCGGTAACCGTGCGACTACGACGGTGGACGATGGGAAAATGAAAACGTTGGCCGATGGGGGAGAGAGAATATGACGGGGTGGCAGAGGGTATTCGCGACAGAGAAAGCACACAGTTTGTTATTCCGTTATATAACGCGACGAGTTCGTCGGAGTGTGCTTAACGACGTCGTACAACTTTGATTGGCTACGCAGACTTCGACGGTCGGCAACTTTCGGTTTGCCGCAATACCAGGGTTGCGTGTTGTTCAAACAAAGGGAGGGGTTCTCCGAGTGTTCCTTCCATAACGCGAGTACATGTATTGCTGGAATCAAGAATGAAATACGCGTCTGTGTTCGCGTTTATTCGTCGACCGTTATCCTGTTCGTTAGAGTTTGCCCGTTGTTGACGACGCGATAATAAACCGTCCCGCCGAAGGAATTTCCTAACTGGACATTGCTATACGTGAAACGGTAGACAACGCGGCTGTACGAACGAGGAAACTGCTGTCGAATATATCGTCGACGAGGAGATTTCGTCGGGTCCAATCGAATATTTTTCCATAATCTCCAGCGACGGTGGTGTATGGAAAAAGTTGCGAAATCGACGTCGCTTCCAGCCTCGTGTCTACTCGAACAAGTATATTCGGAGAAGTTTCGTTGAGAAATGAAAGATCATGGCACGGTAGAATACGCGTTCCAGAAGTAGCGTCACCTTATAATGGAAAGTCGTACGGACGTA